CGACAGTATGAGAATCCATCCAGAGCTGTTTTGATTCACGCCGTTGCCGTCTTGCATAGTTCTCGTCAGACTCGTTCCTGTACCTGTGAAGCCGTAGGGCATCGCGATAATGTTTGTTGACGCACCCGCGTACTGTCTGAAGAGATCGCAGATTGTAGGTCCAGCAGGGGGACGTCCACAAAGCGGATGACGTCCAAACTCGGTGGACGAGTGCGATGCGCTGCAGCCTGCCAGTACATCGAGGTTTCCACAAACTGCTTGCCTGAGCTACATTACTGGAACCGGAATAACACTTCTTGCAAATGTCCTGCTGCATGCACCCCCTCGCCGTCATGTACCCCCCCACCAGCCTAGGCGAAGCCCCGTTGCTGAATCTCTCCGTCCCCTCCCATGGATTGTACGGTTTCCTACCCGAGTCCCCTCCCAACTCCTCCGTGGTGCGCCACTGGATGCGAGATGCTGGCAGCTCCCAGCCGGCCAAAGACAACGCCTTTTTCGGCAAGAGCGTGGACTTCCTTTGCCTGTTGCCAGCCGTTGCCAAGTATAACCAGGTTGTCTGAGAAACACACGAAGGGTACATATAAAGGACAACAGTGCTCGCACCACTTCTGCTTATGTTGCGCACACGGACGAATATCTCTAAGAGGTACACCAAGCAGGGACCTTTGGCAGAGCTCCCACACTGGATTCAAGCACCGCTCCAAGCAGACTGCGAACAGTACTGGGCCCCATTTGGTTCCCTGGGGAATAGATCGAGTAATGCGTTCCGTAATACCCTCTAGCCCTTGATAGTGTAGCGAATGCCGTAGACTACGAATGTGACGTATGAACCATGCTATGATACTACGCGGCACCCCCCTCTCCATTAACGTATCCACGATGAACGCGCGACGAATTCGATCGAAAGCTTTGGGTACATCAGACGGAGCAATCGTGAACTTCTGGTCAGCCTGCACGGAACGTTGGCCAAGCATCATTACTGTGAAGAGCATGTCTACGCAGGAGTGGCGCGCCCGATGAGCGAACTGCCATAAGTGAGGTTGCAGCAAGTTCGAGACAGTGCCGAAGACAGCTCCACCCACCACCTTCAACAGAACAGGAAGGACCGTGATTGGCCGGAGCTGGTTCCACAATGCACTACGGTTTCCTTAGGTAGCAGGGCCATGTTTGTAAGAATGCTAATGTCCCTTTGGTCACCCGTCATGCCCAAAATACACACTGGCACGTCATCATGGTCACGTGTGCGGTCATGCGTGCTCTGCGATCCCTCCCCCCCCCCCTCGCTCCGACGTCGTTTCGAAGGACGTGCATGTGCTGTGCGACAATCCCCACGGATATCCCTGTTGAGGCACTACGTAATGATATACAGCGGATGTGTGACATCCGCACCCTCAATGCACAAGCACGTGGAGAAATGGGGGAAATCGTCGCAACCAGAACTGGCGCGGACATCGCCGTCCATGAGCGGTGCGTCGGCGTCGCCAAGGTTCGGGCCTCCCTGCAGGCAGTGCCCGCACGAATGGAAGCTGAAAGGTGAGTCATGCATCGGTACCGGCAGCGCTTCGTCGATGCCGAGATTCGCGTACGAGTCCGCTAGATAATTCCTAGCCCTGGAAACCGATTCAGCCTGGACGTATAAGAACGTAGATAAAATTGCGTAGCACTGAGATCGGTAAATAGAACTCCTGAAATCCCAAACCTGCCAGACTCCCAAAAGCTGCTGAATAACGGCGTCATTGTCCCCCTCGATCGCCAAAAACTGAACCCCTGCTTGCGAAGCGTACTCCAGCCCTATCAGAAGGCCGTGCCACTCAGCGTCAGCATTGCTACCCCCCAACATGCGCCACTTAAATCGAAGATCTGGTTACCCCCCGGGTCGAAGAGGACACCGCCACACCCCACCTGCTGCTCGCCCCGCCTGGCTCCGAACTGCAGTAAATGGCACCTCCCATACCCGCCCGGCCCCCCAATAGGCGCGGCTGCGGCCACAGGAACCCGTTCTGGCAGCTGCATTTGGAAACTAGCGATGGCCTCAAGCATCTCCCCGACAACTCCGTCGCCCGAACAACTCGCACCCTTGTTTACTCGCATGAAGGCCTCATGAACAGCGCTAGTAGGAATAGGTTCCGCTTGTGGAGAACTCCCCCAAATCCAAATAGGAAGAAGCTCGTTTTCGGGGTCCCGGAACGTCTCGTTGAAAAAACCCACCATGCTCTTCTCCAGGCTGCTGGTTTCGGTGATGCTCTGCTTCGAGCGAGGGCACGTGAAGAACGAGCTACCCGAAGAGACGGCTCTTTTCTTCTTACCCCAGCCTCCCTGACGTAAATTCCCCAAGACTTCTAAACTCCTTTCATTGAGATCTTCAGCTTGCAGGCGCTTGCGCTCCTGGAAAACCTTTTCGGCAGCCGCTCGTTTGGCCTGTCTAGAAGTCGCCTGCCGCCACTCGCCTTCCAAGATGTGCAAGGTAGTGCGCTTGGCCCGCCGCGTGCTTGTCCTAGAAGGCAGCACGCCTGTATGCTTACCCACCTCCCCCAGAATTGCAGAGATATCCCCAAGAGTGTCGTGCTCATCGATCTGCTGCGAAAGCTGCTTGA